GCTGGCGCTCTGCTCCCAGGGCCTCCCACAGGCACGTCCTGCTCACCTGGGCTTGGGTTTGGACTCCCCCACGGGGCCATCTGCAGAGAGACGGGCACAGCCAGGGGTCAGGGGGCCCCGGATCCGGGCCCAGCTCTGTCCCGAGGGGGTGGGGACCCTCCAGCCCGGGACTCCCAGTCCCAGGAGCATCCGGGAGGATGAAGGCCCCGCGGGCTGCAAACCCCACACGCCCTCTGGAGCCCCTGGGGGCGGAATTCTGAGCCCCCGCTGGCTGCCCCTCCCCCAGGGGCGTGGCTGCGACCACAGCAGTGACCACCACGTGGACGGCGAGGCCTTGGGGTTCACCCACGGACCCCGCACCCTGTGAGTGATTAGCCTGAGCTCCAGCACCTCGTGTGTGGCCGTGACAGCGGGGAGCCCTGCGCACTGTGGGGATCAGACACTGGTCTCCCCCCTCCACCCTCCGCCCCCCCCCAGGCAGTGTCTCTGGATTGAGGGGCAGAGGGTGGAGCCCAGCAGCCCAAACCTGCATGAGCACCAAGTCTGTCCAGTCCCCATGGGCCCTCCCCGCTCCCACCTCCCTGGGAGCCGCCTCCCTCAACGGGCAGGGTCCCCTCACCACCCCAAACCTCTCGCCTGTGCCCAACCGCCCTCACCTTCAGCCTCCTTCACTCCCTCCTCTTGTCTGTCGTCTAAACAGAACGAGAAACGTTAGCCAAGTCCCAGTTCTAAGCTCAGGGGGCCCTTGCCGAGAGCCCCCCACAGACAGGACATGGCCCTGCTGAGTTCCGGGGTCACGGAGCTGTCTGTTCACACACATGCACACATGTGCACACACACAGTCATGCATACTCGCACGTGCACACATATATGCACACGGCTATACACGCACAGCCACGCGCACATACACACATGCACATATATGCACACACGGCTATACACGCACAGCCGCCCCCGCACGTACACACATGCACTCACACATGCACACAACCACACATATATGCACATACAGCTATACACACGTGCACAGCCACACACACATACACAGCCCCCACACACTTTCACACATGCTTTCACACATGTGCACATATGCGCGCGTATGCGCACACGTATGTGCACGTGCACACGCATGCACACGCAGAGACACATGCCCTGGGCCCGGCCTCGTCCGGCACAGAATGCGCTAGTGGTCCCGGCCCCTCCATGGACAACTGACCGCTGAGCCCCAGCCCAGACGGAGGCGCAGCCACACGGGCTGGACAGCATGTCTGGTGGGTCTTTCCGGCCACAGGAGTGGCTGCGGGCTCTGCCCCCGCCCCGGGCACCAGGGCACAGCCCCGCCCCCTCCCCAGAGCCCCACCGTCCGCGTTGGTCTCAGCCTCCGCCTCCGCCTCAGCCTCGCCCTCAGCCTTCTCCTCCGCTGCCTCCTCCTCCACTGCCTCCTCTTCCGCGACCTCTTCCTGCTCTGAAGCGACAGGCGAGAGAGGGCACAGTGAGCGGCAGGCCCCGCCTGCTCCTGCAGCCCCGGGACCGAGGGGGGGTGTGGGGGACCAGGAACCAGGAGCTGCAGGCTCGGACCCCGTGTTTCCTTCAATAGCGCAGCCACTCATCAGCCACGGCCCTGCTGCAGCCGAGTGGATGGCCCACTGCCTGCAATAGTCCCTCCCGCCTGTGCGCCTGGCAGAGGGCGGCCAAGGTCAGGGCCGACACTGTGTAGGGGCCAGGGCTGTGGGAAGGGCTGTGCTCAGCTGAGAGGGGGGGACAGGGACAGGGACAGGGACAGGCTGCTCAGGAAATCTCGGCTCCTGGGGTTCGCCCTGCCCCCCTCCATCAGCCCAAGCCCCGTACCTTCCACGGCTTCCTCTGCTCGAACAAGGTCACGGCCGCAAGAAAGGGGACAAGAGGAGGGTCAGTTTCAAACCAGGCGGCTTCCGTCCGCCCGAATGAAGGTGCAGGCGTTTGCTTACCTTCCTGCTCCCTGCAGGGTGGAGGGACACGGTCAGGAGTGTGCGCACACACACTCTCACACACACTCACACACACATATACTCACATATACACACACCCTCTCACTCTCACACACATTCACACATATACACACACACACACACTCACACACACATATACACCAGCACTCACATACACACACACTCACACACACATATACTCACATATACACACACTCTCTCACTCTCACACACATTCACACACACACTCATACACACACACACACTCACACACACACACACTCTCACACACACACACACGCACACCCACCCTCCTGCTCCCAGGGCAGCTCCAAGGATAGGTTGAAGGGGCAGCACAGGAGGGGACGGGGGGAGGGGACAGGATGCTCTGGCACTCACCCCTCGTACTCCTCCACCTCTTCTGCGTCAGACATGGCCTCCCTCTCCCTCCAAAAGAGAAAGAGGTCAGAGTGGGCCAAGGGGGGACCCGGCTTCCTCAGCTCAGCCCCCTCCTCAGTCCCGGACCCGCCTGGCGGCCGTCACTGTGTCCACATCCGAAGGGTGACTTGCAACCTTGTTGGGCAGATGTTACCACCGGGGACGCTGCAAAGCCACCCTGCAGCGGCCTCTCACAAATGCTTGTCCTCGGGAGGACTGATTGTCGGGGAGGAGTCCCCAGGGTTGGTGAGGAGCCTGTGGCCCACAGCACAGCCCGGACCCAGGGGAGCAGCCGGACCGGTGGCTTAGAGCTGGGGAGCTGCTCCCCAAGATGGGCGGAGCTGGTCCCCTCAGGGAGGGGGTTGTGCACAGCCTGGGGCACGGGACTCAGTGTCCTCTCTCCTCTCCTGCCCCCCTTCCCACCAGCTCGGAGCCACTGGCCCTAGTGTGCAGAGGAGGAGGGAGCCCTCACCGCTCGGGGAGCCCCACCCGGCTCCCCAGAATAGCATGCCAGCCCCCGGAAGGTGGGGGAGGGCTCTCAGACCAGGCCCGTTGCCCCCAGGCCGGACTGAAGAAGAGGCTGGGCAGGCTGAGCTGGGGGCTCCAGCCTGGGAGGCAATCAAAACCCTGCCCCCCTCCCGCCCCCCG